CACACATTCCGAGATTATACAACCGTCAATAAATAGCACATTCTTAAAAAACATCTTTCGGTCTAAAAACAATTATTTTGTCTTCAAGATTTAACTTTAAAGGAAAAAAAATTACAGCCTGATGATGAAGACATGGATCTTCGAAAGTACTTGCTTAACTTAAAAAAATATACACTAGCAACATCTGACAACAATTTTATAAATGAAGTTCACATCATTCAATGGATTAACAGTATTTTAATGCATACATTATGTTCTACTAGCGAAGTGATTTTGCCATTTATTGCATTAATATTGCTGATTGATTCTAAGTATGATTATTTCTTTATATGCTGCCTAATATATATATAAAAGAGAGAAGCCACAAACGATTTTTGGACTGTACAAAATGGGTTCTGATGGCTACTACTACACACAAAAGCCAATGGTTAAAAGACTTAACATAGGAAGAAGAAAAAATTTAACAGTTAATAAAATTAAAAATAAATATTTGTGAATAAAAAGATATCTGAACTATCAATGAGATTGATACATAAGTAAAAATTAAAGTACTTGTAAAATATAGTGATATCAGAAAATTTAAACATTCAACTGGTTTTCATATATACCATCATATATACTTTATTTAGATATTTCATATCATTCATTTTATCATTATATATATATATAATATATAATATATATATATATATATATATAGTATAAAATGACAATTGGAAAAAATCTTAGATTTTGCCGACATGTTTCATCTTCCAACTTTTTCAAGGTAAAAATTAGATCAAAATGTTTTTGTTGTTATAGTTACATTAAAAAATACAAATTTAAAAAGATAGATTTTTTTTTTTTTTTTTTTTTTTGGCATTTTATACCAATCTGTCTTATCCACAGAATTGATCTGAGAATTTAACTATATATATATATATATATATATACACACACACACACAGAGTCCAGCAAAAAATGTCTACGCACTTCAGGAAAGGATTTTACATGTCTTTCATAGTTTTATCAAATTCTGATAACACTGTTTACAGTATTAGGATATTTTTCTTGATTTAACACCTTCAGACCTTTACTTATGAGTTACTGTAAAGGATGTTCTGTATAAACTACTGGCCCTTAGACAAGAAATTGAAAATGTATGTGCAGCAATCCCACTTGACACTCTGACCAATGTTGTCCAAGCAGTAGTTTGCCGTACTAATAAATATCTGGAAGCTAAAGGCCACCATTTTGAGCATCTCCTTTGATTGTAGCATCCAAAGACAACATGTATAAATCTTGTGATGTCTGAATAAATTTAGTATTACAATATCTACAAGTTTTTCCTTTCCTGATGTGTGTATTCTTTTTTTTTTTTTTTTTTTTTTTTTTGAACAAAATTTACTATTTAATTTCTTGTGTAATTTCTTCAAATTCTTCATCTTTTCTCCAGATGAAAAAAGTGATTCGAGAACTTTACATCCAAGAAAATTGCCATCCTGGAAAAGCAACTGTATTGATTTGGGTTCAAATCCCCATGTGGATTGCTTTGTCATTTACTCTTCGATATATGTCTGGTTTTGCACCAATAATGGACTTGGGTAAGTTGCTGTTTATAACATTACTTATATGCTGTGTGATACACACTTAGGCAATCATGTATCTTTTGATACATGACTGATGAGGCAGATTTTTTCCTGCAGTAGGTTACAATTTCTTTCTGTGGTAGACCAGTTGCCATCCAAGGCTATAGAACTTGGTCTGTCCTGCTATTTACCCATGCTGGTGGTGAGAAGAGGGTTCATACCTTTCCCAAGGGTATTAGCATGAAAGTGAATGTAATAGATCTGACTGGAATTTGAACCTGACTCTCCAATTTCTCAATCCGAGCCGCTATCCATTACTCCACATTACTAGTTGTTTCATAAAAAAATATTTAAGTAATTTTGAAATTGCCTCAGTATTATTTTCCAAATAAGTAATTTAGAAGTAATGGGGGTTCTAGGCAAAAAAGAATATTGCCAGTTTTCCTTCCCCATTATAGGCATTAATATATTGGTGATATTATAACTCCTTAATACATGGACTGAACAGAATAGCTGAAAAAAATGTGTATTGTTCTCAAAGTGAGTTTTTTATACCGATATATTCTCAGTTGTTACTAACTTGTCCCACCCAGAGAAATTATAACATGTATTCAATAATCAGTGTAAAAGTGCAAGAAGAGAAAGGGTTTGTAATATTTTCCAAAGGGAAAATAGGAAGGCCAGTAATATTCGCTCTGTACCTGGTGAAACCATGTGGTTTCCTCTGTTCTTTTAACTGCCATTAGCAGTCATGTCTCGCTTCTTTACTGGTCATATAGCAACTGGTGTTGGCTAACATGTCTTACCCCTAGGCGTGCTAAATAGCAACTGGCACTGATCACTCTATGAACAGATGTCACTCATCAGCCATTACACCACTAACTTGTCCCACATGGAGAAATTATAATATCTGCATCCAACAATGCGTTTAAAAGGCTGAGAAGCAACAGGGTCTTGTAATATTTCTCGAAATGAAAACTGGCAGGATGGTAGTGTTCTCTGTATCTGGTGAGACATGTTGGTTCATCTGTTCTCTTAACTCCCCTTGTTTACAAAATTTATCATTATTTAAGGCAAAGATGATTAATGCTTTTTTATTTTTTTTATATCTGTCATGAACAATTTCACAGTGTATTGCAAAAGCTACTTTTCTAAATTGTAAGCATATTTGTTCAAATATCATTTAATGCTAGACTCCTGTTGATTAGGGATAAGTAGTAGTTCAAGTAAAGCTAACTTTAAATTTTAAATCTAGTTGGAGTTTTGCTACAAAGTAGTTCTTATTTATTTCTAAATAATTATAATATAAATTCTATATTCGGAAGTGATGTTGTGTAGATTGACTTATCTTTGATTGCTTTTAAACAATATTTAAACAAAAAAAAAAAGGCTAGTAATGGCAATTGCTATGACATTTATTCCACAGATATAAAAATAACTTGTTTCTCTTTTCAGTTTACAATTTAGCACAATTCTAATGTGTTTGTCTTGGTCCTGGGATTGAAAAGCAATTAGTGTCCTAAATTTTTGCTCAGTCTTTTTTTTTTTTTCCTGTTGGGCTGCACATGCATAGTTTTTTTTTTAATTTGAGAGGTAAAAAAGAATGTTTATCCATATTCTTAAAACACAAGCTGATCTCATGTCTACTTTATAAAACGTATTCAAAGTCTTAAGTGACAATATTATTTACAAGCAAAGTGTCAGCTGTCAAACGAAGATTTAAAAAGGAACTGCTAGACATGTAGAGGCACTAGTGATCTATAAATAAAACTTTGTCCTCAGAATACAGTATCCACAGCATGATGAAAAACTACATCCGACAGCAAGGCCTCTGATTGGAAGGTTTTGAAGTGTGGAACCAACTCTTAATTGCTGTTGTTCCCAATTTCAACCTGACCAGGGGTGGTAGCACCTGTTAGACTCTCAGCCAATAGTTAACCCCCAAACTAGGATCAAAACACTAATAAAAGTATAAAAAAAATTATCGCAAAAATACCAACAATACATTTTCATAGTAAAAAAAAAAAAGATTACCAGCAATACATTACTTAAAAAGGAATACAAAAATGACCAAATTTTCCCCCAAAATTAAATTTCTGCATTAAATGACCCATAAGGAGTTGATACGCCATTAAACAAACCAAACCAAATCAGAATACAATGAAGAAATGTTTTATAGCCAGAGATAGGCCTCAAATATTTTTCTTTGTGGTGTCGTAATAGAAAAAGTGTCTGTCATTGTTCTTCCTGTGTTGGTTGTAAACACAAATAAATCTTTAATTTTTCTATAGAAGAGATTATGAAAATTTGTAAATGTATTGTTGGTGTGCTGAAAGTAGAAGAGGAAAAAAAAATTTAATCTTTAAAGTTGTAACTCTGGTAAACATCCCCACCCCACCTCATGTTAATGGTTGATGTTTGGGTCTAGATCAAAGTTAAGATTCCAAATGTTGATTTTCAATGTAAGGCAAGCCTTTCCAGCTTAAAAATTGGCACAACACAATCTTACTTAATTATTCATTTAGTATTTCTACTGAAATAAACTAAACTGAAGTAAATCTCTATCGGTGAAATCAAAATTTCTTTTGCATATGCAATGTCCGATCAAAAAGTATCAGAACTGTTGCTATGGTAACAGAGTTAAAGCACACAGAGTGAAGCTGCTTGGCATAGATTGACCTTGAATTCTGTCAATCATGCACATTGTTATACCATTCTTGCTCACTTGCATTGTTTATACCTGTACATGGAAGGAATGTGTGTAGAATGTGTTTATCTCATCACACTACAGAGGTCCCATCAATGACCATGGCTTGTAGAGCAGTTTTTGGTCAAGAATAATTATTACCCATGTCTGACAACCACCATATTCCCCAGATTTTGCATCTTGAAACTTTTATTCTCTTTCCAAAAGTGAAATCCCGCTTGAAAGAAACAAGATGTTGAGGAAATCCAAGAGAATAAAACAAGGCAGCTGCTCACTATCCCCAAAAAAGGAATTTCCAGGGATGCTTCCATCAATGGAAACGATGCTGGATAAAGTGTGTGGCTTCAAAGTATATTAAATACCAAATTGATATGTGTTTTCTTTTTATAACACTAATACCAATACTGTTTGATCAAACCTAGTAATTTAAACAAATTAATGTCAGTCATGAGTTGATTAGTAGACAGAGTTCTTTTATTGCAATGGTAGTTATAAAAAAACTTTTTGTTTTTTTTGTCTTTTCTGAAAGCTGTAATTAATTAACACAGAATCAAGTCACTTGCTATAAAAAATTGTTATGGATCTTACCCATAATAATAATAATAATAATGGACTATTCCATACTTAATAAATACTGCACCTCAGGAGTAGGCAGGGAGTAAGTAGTTCAAGTCGAGTCAAAGGCTGTCCGAAACAGAGTCGCATTCAGACAATTACTGCAAGATATCGGAATAGTGATACTGGTCGAGACTACATTGTTCTCCCTACTAAACCTGATTGTTCATACTAACACTTCTACTTCTCTGTATATATTCCTGTTTGTAATATATCTGTGTTATTCCATACCTGTGTTCGAGTTCTTCTTTATTGGTTCTACCTTGGACGATCACCGTGGTACAAGGAACTGGACCATAACAAAAATAAAAATAATTTAAGTCTACACAACAAAAGAAAAATCACTTGCTTTTATAAATGGTATTTACAGAATGCCTTCAAGTATGACAAATCCAATAAACTGGTCTTTATATTTTTGCAGATAGTTCTTTTATTCACTCTGAGCTTCATCATGAAGGCATGCTATGGTTCAAAGACATGACACTTCCTGACAGGACTTGGATTCTGCCTATCTCTTTGGGACTGGTCAATTTGTCGATCATTGAAGTAAGTACAAATATTTCCAATCTGTGACTTATTTTTGAAAATCTCAAGAATTACATGTAATCTTCAGGATTAAGAGAATATTTCAAACACATTCAGTTCTTTCATTTTAAGACAGCAGAATTACATTATTCATTTCAATTTATGACTGCAGGATTACATTATGCATTTCATTTTATGACTGCAGGATTACATTATGCATTTCATTTTATGACTGCGGGATTACATTATTCATTTCATTTTATGACTGCAGGATTGCATTATTTGTTTCATTTTATGACTGCAGGATTACATTATCCATTTCATTTTATGACTGCAGGATTACATTACTCGTTTCATTTTATGACATAAACTATTTCCAACCTCAAGGTCTCTGATTGGGAAGTTTGAAGCTTTGAGGAGCATGGAACCACCTCTTAATTGTTGTTATTTTCATGTCCACTCTGACCCGGGGTGGTAGCACCTGTTAGGGTCCTGGCTATGGGCAAATAGTGGACCTCCAAACAAAAACAAAACACTATGAAAGTATAAAAATACATATTCATGGTAAAAGTATCATCAATACACATTTTATATAAAAAAAAATTAACAACAATACATATTTATAGTAAAATGACCTACAATACATATTACATCAAAATGACCGTTAATACATTTTATCTGTAGTTGAAGGCATACAATTGCATTCAAAATATGATTAACTGTAGCTATAAAAGTTTTCACAAAATATTTAGATAGATAGATATTACATAACCATTGGAGGTTGATATACCACTAAACAAAATCAACCAAAATCACTTTATGACAGCAGGGTAACTTTGTTTACTAGATTTTATGACAGCAGGGTTACATTTTTACTTCATTTTAAGACAGCAAGGTTACCAGCAGTAGAAAAAACATCTTGGTTGCAGAATTTCTTCCCTTTAACAGGAAGGTGTGTCTTTTAAACCATTTATTATATTTGCTCTTTTATCAGAAAAGACTATGGTCTCATATTTTAACTTTCTCTCATTTTCTTATTAAAGTATTTGACTAACATCCTAATTCTAGATGTTTTTTCCCAACTTTTCCTTAGCCAGTCTCAAGTGTTTGTTTTTTTTTGCAATCCTTTTGTACTTTTAAATATTTAAGATTCATTCATAAGACGACTTAAGAGACATACTTTTACATTTAAAAAAAAATGCAGCTTTATTTTTTTCTTTCACTAAATTCCAACCAATCCAAGAATCAAAATTGAAAAAAAAAAACAATAAAATAGACTTTGTTGGCTGAATTAAATAAAACTAGTTTAGATATATGTGAGAAAGATTTTGATTTTGGCATTACATAACCCATAGACTCTAATGTCTCCGCTTGAACTTGTTTCCTGTTTAGGATTGGGTTTCCGGTTCCTTCTAAAGTCTTTTTCATTTTCTTTCACTCCCAGTAACCCATTGTGTCTTAGTGACTTCAAGCCTCGCTTTGGGTAAAAATATAATATAAAACCAAACGAAAAGATTATCAAAATTGAAAGAAAGCAATAAAATAGACTTTGTTGGCTGAATTAAATGAAACTAGTTTAGATATATGTGAGAAAGAGAAAGATTTCGATTTCAACTCTAATGTCTCCGCTTGAACTGAAATTTTATTTACTTTATTTCAATAGGAGTAGTTTGTCTATTGTTTGGTTCACACACCTCCTTTTTGAACAGAAGTAGAGGTTTATCCCTTATTTCCTGTTTAAGATTGGGTTTCTGGTTCCTTCTAAAGTCTTTTCATTCTCTTTCACTTCCAGAAGCCCCCTTGCATCTTAGTGGCTTTATCACCTTGCTTGGTGTGAATTGATTAAAAGAAAAAAATAAAGCATCAGTATTGTTCTAGTTTTATACATGAAATTCAGGCTAATCAGTGGCAGTGAGCCCCAATTCTAAACAAAATCTTGACTTGCAGTCCCACTTTTTATAGAAATTCTGAAGGTTTTAATATGCATATGTATTTTGGGCTTATGGCCATATAATGTTGAAACACCAGTTCCCATGTGATCACCAAAGTTAAGCAACAGCAAGGCTGGACAGTAGCTAGATGGGTGACTGCTTGGAAATAATAGGTGCTGTGAAAGAAATTGGTGGTGTAATGGATAATGGCTCAGAATTGTTAATTGGAGAACTAAGTATGAATTTTGCAAATGGAAAAGTAAAATGAGAGATATATGTGTATGTGTGTGTGTATATATATATATATATATATATATATATATATTATGATAAACGTGCAATCAATTTACAAATTCATGAATTATTCACACAAAAACTAATGCAAAGGTTAATGATTTAATTGGCGAGAAATCCATCATCGCAAACAATTCAAATAATATACAAAAACCTCCGAATCCGTTATGAATGAAATGATCCTTGTTTATATAAATTTCTGCCGTATTAGTTCTTATTTTTACTACAAGCTTTCGTCTGTTCCTACAGACATCTTCAGGTATAGAATAGATGTTGTTCCGTATACCTGAAGATGTCTGTAGGAACAGACGAAAGCTTGTAGTAAAAATAAGAACTAATACAGCAGAAATTTATATAAACAAGGATCATTTCTCACAAATCATTAAGAGATAATTAGATTCCTTTCCCTTTGAGTCAACTTAAGTACCTAAAGCTTTCAGGAAATTCATCTCCAGTCCATCTTTGAGTAAACTTAAGTGTCAATGTTTTGGGGATTTATATCTACAGCTGCCTTTGAATTGGGAAACTAAAAATCTTGTTAATGATTTTAGATAATCATAAAAGTAGACTCTTTTGAAAATTTGACTACCCATCTGGCTTTTGGGTGGTCTCTCTTGTTCTGAACCAGAAGTGGATGGATAGCAGGGTGGGACCCCAGCCATTATCCATATAAGCAGGAAGAAAGGGGTCCAGCAGTCAGTGAGTCAGTAGGTAGGTAAGTGGCCAATGAGGAAGGGACTGTTGAGCAGTTTAGGAGATAACAGTTCAGCCAAAGAAAACAGGTGTCTAAGAAGTGAGAATTCGTATTGTTGTTCATCTATATTTCTGAGATGAGGTATTATGTACATTATTTACATTATTCGGACTATTTGTCACCATAATTGTCACAACATTTCGGCCGTTGTACACTCCAGCCTTCTTCAGGTGGTTGGAATTTCGAACTGAAATTTTGAACTGGCACAGTGGATAAAGGCGTTGGTTAGATCCAGTGACAGGACCCAAAGAGTGTAAGTTCAATACCCAGTTAAGGCAGTGGAGAACTTTCAGAGGGAAATTAGCAGGGGATAACTGATAACTGACATCCATTAAACATGGCACATGGAACTAGAACAGTCTACCCCAGTGAGCGAAATAAAGGCATTTGGTTCGAAATTCCAACCACCTGAAGAAAGCTGGAGTGTATAACGGCTGAAACGTTGTGACAAATATGGCGACAAAGATGAGGACAATAGTCCGAATAATGTAAATAATGTCGTATTGTTGTTATTTTCAAACCAGAGTACTTTGAAAATCAGTTGTCATTATTCTCTGTTAAATTTGATCAAGTCCAAGTGGACAAATCTGTGAGCATAGTGAAGTCAGGTGTAGATGCAAATACAGGTGCAGTGAACAATGAATGAACAGAGAACATTGTCACAAATGTCATCACACCTGTACTGCTCCAGTAAGTACCTGACTCTTGCTATTCTCTATCTCAACGAGAACCAGGTCAGGCTGAAAATGCAGTACTGCTGCCATATACGGGCAGGAGCTGCCTAGTCTTTAATTTCCAGTCTCAACAGAGTGTCTAAGAGAGCCTTGTGGGTGATGATCTATTTTCCACACTACAACCACTTTCTCATTACAGACAGAATGTTACAAGCCTCTCGTTACTCTATCACCATTTCCATGGAAACTCTTCAAACTATATTCCTTAGATATACCAGTTCTAACTTTCACAGCTAAGATCCGCCATGCCATGCACATTGTGGTGAACCACCCTTTGTATTCGTCTCAAGCAGCTTCCCATGAATCACTGCTTTGTGGAACTGACCTCCAAGTGGATACTTCCCCGATTCCTACAATCTTAACCAGTTCAAGTCTATGGTGAGCCGTTATCTTCCCAATATATCCCAATAAACTGTACCTCTTATTCTGTAACTCTCTACCTTTAATGCCTCTTGGGCCTTGTACAGGATGAATATTATAAAAAATAAAAAAACAAAAATCTCCTCTTTATATGTGAAGAATTTATTCAGCATTCATTGCTATATAGGAGGACCATAATAGTTAAGAATTCTTTTCTTTGTTTCTAAAAAAAAATTTCTTGTTCTTTAATTTTTTTTTTTTTTTCTTCTAGATACATGCTTTACAGAGGACCAACTCAACTTTTTTAACCAAGATTATCACTAATCTTGTAAGAGGATTAAGTTTTTTGATGATTCCCATTGGTGCCTCTGTTCCCAGTGTAAGTAAAAGAAACAGTTTACCTTTTTGCCACTTGAAATCATTCATTCATTATTTTATTATTATTTTTTATCATTATTATTATTATTATTATCCATTCATCGCTTGATTTATTATGAATTTACAAACGGATATTTTAAAAGAGTATATATATATTCATATAATATGGGATAACAATATATAAAGTTTTACATATCAAAGACCGTTTTGGAAGAAAAATGTATGACAAAGTGGAAAAAGTTTTCATGTGATGCATTTCATCGCTTAGAACTTTATTGAACTAGGTTCATTTACATTGATGTGACTTCACATGTGCACAAATAAGAGATACAGGGAATTTTAAATTTAGAAAAAAAAAATTTTTTTAGTGTCCTTCGGGTATATAATTCAATTTCATTTAGATTCTTTTTCTTTCCATCATTTTTGTTATTAAATATCCCACGTTGTGACAACAGAAGAGCTGACAAGAATTGTGTAATGTTGTAAGAACCTAAATGCAAATTTACTGTGGATGAACTAGGGATTAAGTCATTTTCTAAATATTTTCATCTTAGTGAATTATTTTCTGTTTTAATTGGAGTAGCATTTTTATGTCAAATTGTGGTCAGTCTCCTCTCATTGAGCAACTAATGCATTTAATGTGTTGTTTTTTAAAATGTCTCTTTTGTGATCATATAATCTTTTATTTAAATTTCTTGAGGTTTCTCCAATATATTTGTTCTGGCAATCATTGCAGTTGATAAATTCCTCCTTCAAGTTTTGGCTTGTTTTGTTTTGCATTGATTAAGTCTTTTATTGTTTTAGATATAGCTGTATAATTTTTATGTTGAGTTTAGATAAATTCTTTTTTATTGTAGTTGTAATAGAATTAGTGGGTAGAACAATATTTTTCTTTTTTGATTTGTCGAGTGTGTCGGGTAGGGACGTTTTTCTATTTTGGAATATTTTATAATCCTTTTCTTTCACATTGAATATGGAATAGTTGGGTATTGGAGGGACTTGAAAGTATTATCAATATATTTCTCTTCTTTGTGCAAATATTGAGGACGGCAAATACTGGGTGCTCTTAAGTAGAATCTGATAATTATTCCAGATTTTATTTTGTTGTTATGGGAATAAAAATTAGATCATTTTTTATTCATATAATATGTACAGACATATTAAAACAAAGGAGAAGGAAGAGCAAGGATAAGAAAAAAGAAAAGTGGTTAATCAAAATAGAGAACAAAAAAAACATTTATTGCTCCTCACTCTTCAGAGCTCAATCAAAGATAAAAACATGTATGTGTAGAACAACTAAAATGATGGGAAGTAAAAAAATTATTACCAAATAATCAGCAATATAAATCATAGAAAGGTAACATTAAACCCGGCAGGCCTTCCTTTTTGCTTACAAAGGGAAGGTTGCTTAGAGTTAATATACTGGGTCTCAAGCATACTCCAATTAGAAAGAAAAAATACTACTTGAGAACTAGCAATATAAATCACTGACAGATTATATTAAGACCCAGCAGCCATTCCTTCTGCTTACAGAGGGAAGGATGCTTAGAGTTAATATACCTCATCTCAAGCACTTACAAATAGCAATCTGAATGTAAAAATACAAGACTCAAATTACTTATTAAGCAGCCCACACTCACAGAACCAGATATATTAATAAGTGTATGAAAATCTTTGTACTGCCCTCTGTGGATCTTGTTTTGCTCTCAACCTTAGCAAGGATTGAACATTCACATTTTTGGTCACAGTATTTGTCATTTTGTTGCAGAGGAAGCTTCTTGAAAAAGTTCATGTCTCATTAAAATATACAATGGAATTTCAAAATCTCTTCGTAGTTAGAAATATTTATCAGTGTGTGTGTATACTTGTGTATGTGCACATGTGTATACCTGTATGTGTGTGTATGTGTACAGGTCATGGCTATTTCTTCATATACATATACACAAAAGAATAAAATCAACCTCATGCCAATAAAAAAATGCATAAATTATTTTTTTAACTTAATATAAAAATAAGGAAAATGAGAAAAACAGCAGACAAGTGGACAGATTGATTACAAAAAGGTTCCTCTACAAATCTGTAATTGGGGTCCTGAATATGACATTTAATCAGCTAAGTCACAAATTTTATATTTGTATTAATCCTATATATATATATATATATATATATATATATATATATATAAGGTTATAGTTGTTCCAATGAGATAAAAGTGTATATTTCAAAAAGAAGAGAGAAATCATAAACATTTTTGGTTGTCATGTAGATTTTTTTAAAAATATATATTTTCTTGTCCATAATTTTGCTACATGGGTTTCCATTCTCACAACTTTCTTCAGGCAAAGAGAGTGGATATTTCCACATATTATTAAAATGAATTAATTTTCCTTATGCTTTTCAATGTTAAACATTCTCTTTTTTTTGGAGGGGTAGAGTAGTGACACAAATGTCTTTCTTGGACTGGTGGTAAAAAGGTTCTTCTGCTTAAAGGATAATAAAACAATTAAGATTGGTCTGAGAAAGGGTGTGGAAAGATATCTGTATTCTTATATTTTAATGACCCCTGTATGTTCTATTTCCATTTTTGTGTGTTGTGTGCATTTTTGCTAGTATGTGTATGCATATTCCCTCTCCATACATACAGTCTTATTATAAGGAATTAGTATACACACACACATACATACATATATATGTGTGTGTGTGTATATATATATATATATATATATATATATATATATATACGCCCCCCCCAAACCTGCACATATATACATACACACAGACGCACACACACACACACACACACACACACATATATATATATCAGCCCCTTAAATATCAGCTCTCAAAATCTTACTGTGGGACTTCCTGTATTATTAACATTCATGTCTTCATAAATGATGGCAAAGTATACATGGAGCAGTTTACAGTGCATTGAACATTGAGAGACAGTATTTACAAGATAGGTTGAAGGGTTAAGCAGTAAGGATTTATTGATACGCATCCTACTAATTAACCCATAGTTGAGGGAGAATAGGTGGATTCATACCTTTCCCAAGGGTATTTGCATGTAAGTTATAACGAGCCCAACTGGAATTGGAATTCTGCTCTCCAATTAACAATTCTCTGTTATTATCCATTATATCATCCAAGCTTGGAGCGGTTGAATATTGAGAGGTGATATTTATGGGGTGGGTTTGAGTGTGTTGAATCCAAAAGTGTTAAATGACTGCATTCAATTCTTTCTTGTAAACTCTGTTATTGTAAGGGATTTTTCTGATTGTGCTCTGATATAAAAAGATTTACCTACAGAAAAATGTATGTCCTTTTTCACTATAAAAGGGGACAAAGAAAAACATAATTAGAAAATTCTAAAAACAGGTTATATATTATTCAGGCCAAAGTTTTGTGTTGTAACAAAGAAAATCAAAAAATATTTTCAATAAATATCACTAATGAAAAAAAAGAATTTGTCTTAGAATATCAGACAATACAGGAATAACAAATATAGTATCAGATGAAACATTGTGCTAGAAGCAATAAAGATGAAAAAAATAATCCCCAAAATATCAGGAATAATGAAAAGATGTCATCTTAGAATTTGGACAACTCATGATAGACAAAGAATATATCAGATGAAACAATGTGCTATAAACAATAATGATGAAGAAAATAATCCCCAGGAATTAAGAAATACTTTGTTTAAAGTTCTAAAAACAACTGGAAAATTTTCAAATATATGTTGTATATTTCTATCACAAAAATACATAATGTAAGTTATCTTCACAGAGTATCACTCTACTGTAGCCTTGTTTCAGACTATATTTGTTACTTGTGTAGCTCTGTGTATCTTTATCTTGTGTTATCTCGATCTATAAAAGGCAGGATGTGTGTGTGTGAAATGAATGCACGGCCGCAATTTTCGACTGACTTTGCATTTCCCAACTCCCATTGATAGTGGAAATAATCGATTTTTTCATGCTTCTACAGCAGTTTTCATGTAGTTTGCGGCCATTTTGTACTGGCCAGAGTGAGAGCCTATAGCTGGCTGCCACGAATATGCAGGAAGATTCTATTGGCCAGTGTGAGAGCCAACAGCTGACTGACATGAATGTTAACTAGCATGCTAGCATGCAAAAAAAATATCGATAGCTGCATTCGTCACAAGTGGGAAAAATTTAAATCTGCATGGCACTTTACTCTAATTGGCTTATTCACTTGCTTAACCTCAACATTGATTCTGATTCTGCAGAACTGGGTTGGGTGTGAAAAAGTATTTGTTAACATTCTTTTTTCATTTGGTTTTTCCAGTTACGAGTCCTTTTTTAAAGCTGATCGTTTTGTGTTCATTTTGTTTAGTTCTTTTTTTGTAACAGATTTAATGTTTAGTATAGAGCTTAGAAAAAATTCGCAGTGTGAGATAGGCAAGAAGTAAGGCATGTAGCAACATCAGCACTGCAAAGGGCACTCCTTTAAAGGCAAGGAAGGGCAAAAATATTTTAAGTCAAGTGATAGCGATTGCTGTATGAGTCGTACGATTTTTGAATCAAGCACTGGCAACGCCGGGCCATGCTGCTAGTCCACAATAATAAAGGAATGTCAACATGCCAGACACTGTCAAATGCCTTTGAGATATCTAAAGCAACAACCTGAGCCTCACCATTCTTATCTAAAGGCTGATAGTCAAATTCAGTAATTAGAGAAATGAAAGTCATATTGTTTATCTTAAAAAAGGCCCTGTTAAGTGAGACACTTAACTAATTCAGAGTTGATTAGAGCCTCTCATACTTTGCCAAAAGGAGGTAAAAGAGATCAGAAGGTTCACCCAGATTCTTAAAGACAGGGACTAGAGAAGAGGATTTTCAAGAAGCAGCAAGGAATTTATTGTAGAATTTGGAGAGAACAGGAGCCAATTCAGAAGCACATTACCTTAGGACAACATCAGGGATACAGTCAAGTTAAAAAGCCTTTTGGTGATCGAGTTTACAGATGACATCAGAAATCATTGACAAAGTTATGTTCATTCATATCACTGAGTAGAGATTCCATTCTAGTGGAAAATCAGGCAGATGCTCCTGAATAGTCAAGAATGGAGTTAGAAGAGAATTTTTGAGCAAAGCATTCTGCTTTACCAGCAACAGATAACAATACTCCAAACTGATTGAAAAGAGGAAGAACTGCAAATTTACTCATGTTCAACAGTCTCACAGAGCCGTCAGTAATCTCTAGAACTAAATTTGTGAATCCACAATAGTAGAGGAATAGATAGTGCCATAAAAGTAAGAGGTGTAATTTTATTTACATTAATTATATTGTTCAGACTATGATCCTCAACTTTATTGCCATATTCAAAACTTTTCAGCCATTGTATGCTCCGGCCTTCTTCAGGTGATTGGAATTTCAAACCGAACCCTTTATTTCGCCCACCGAAGTAGATTGTTCTAGTTCCATGTGCCATGCCTCTTTCGGATGTCTCAGTTATTTCCCTTTAACTCAACTTTCCAAGTTTTTTTTTGTTTTTTTGTTTTTGTTTTTTTTTTTTCACCACTGCAGTAGCCAGGTATTGAATTCATAACTCTTTTGGCCTAGTCACTGGATCCAACCAACACATTTAATCACTGGGCCATGTGTAAATAATGTAAATAATTACAATACGTCATCTCAGAAATATAAACAGGTGTAATTTTGTCACAATAAGAACAAAGAAAATCCATTTTATGATCAGGAAACTAGAGTCAAAAAGTCTGGTGTTAATGTTTACAACTTCTTGATTATAACCTCCCGAGTTGTTTCATGACGTTTAACTTGTATATAAAAAAGAAAACACGTTCAGGAGCATCTGCCTGATTTTCCACTAGAATGGAATCTCTACTCAGTGATATGAATGAACATAACTTTGTCAATGATTTCTGATGTCATCTCTAAACTCGATCACCAAAAGGCTTTTTTGACTTGACTGTATCCCTGATGTTGTCCTAAGGTAATGTGCTTCTGAATTGGCTCCTGTTCTCTCCAAATTCTACAATAAATTCCTTGCTGCTTCTTGAAAATCCTCTTCTCTAGTCCCTGTCTTTAAGAATAAAGCTGACATGCCAGAATACTAAATCAGCTTTTGGCTTTCATATCTGTGCACCACATTTTAAACAACAACTCGGATTTCAATAATTTGATATGATCTGGCCATAAAATTCTCATAACTAAGAGAAACTTGATTTTCTCAACATGCTCTCTTCATGGACTCTTTTTGTGCATGTGTTTAATGCACAGGTGAAAATAAATGATTGTGCTTGTTAAACTTTAAACCTTGTTTGGCATTACCTACCTTGATCTGAAACATGACATCACTGAAAATTACAATACAACTTACAAATAGTACATTATTATACTGCCATTCCATTACCATAGTACTATAATTTTATTAAGATATATAGATATATATGCAGTTTCTATATATATTATTTATATATTATATATGTGCAGTACTTATTGGAAAGCACTCAATATTAGTGATAGAGCTAACATATTAATGCAAATATATATATATATATATATATATATATATATATATATATATAATGTCATCCACAGACAGACTGTTTCGCTGTTTCACAGCTCATCAGTGTGGCTAGACATCCGGTTGCCTCTAGCTAGGATCGAAACCCAACTGAATTGGCGTCAGTCAGAGATTCTACCACTAAGCCGTCGGTGTACAGCAGGGATGAAGGTGAATTTTTAGCGTATTTATTTTTAGATAAATACACACAGTGACTGACAGTGACTCAATTCGCGTTTTGCGAAGAGTCTTGCTATATTAGCTATAATAGTCACTGTTTACAAACCCACACCTCTTCCCCAGAGAGCTCAACCAAAATTTATTTTTCAGGAGCCAATATATATATATATATATATATATATATATATATATATATATTTTTGAGCAGCAATCCTTTTATACAAGTTTCATTAATTAAATTTTTCTTGCATTTATACATTTATTTTCTTTTCTGGAGCAGGTGTGTAAAAACTGTTCGAATGATTTGTGAATCCAAATGTTTTTGACTAATCTATTAGCCATTGTCAAGGATGTTTTTTGTTTAACTAAATATTTAGATTTACATATCAGAAAAAGCTTAATCACAGTGACTGCCTGGGAATACCAATGTTGTAAGCTTGGATGTGCAGGTGGTGTAATGGATAATGGCTCAGAATTGTTAATCAGAGAATCCGTTCCAATTCCTGTTTGATTCACTTACATGCAAATATACCCTTGGGAAATGGAAGAATCAACGTCTTCTTCTCTATGGGTTAATTAGAAAGATTTGTATCACTGAACCATTATTATCTCCTTTCTCCACCAAAGATTTCTTAGATGTCTAAAAATATTTTCTGGTTGTAATATAGCTTCTCCTGTACCTTTCTATAAATATTTTCATGGTAACTGTTTTCCTGAACATTCTCCTATGGTGCCTCAGCACGGTACTTGATTGGCAGCAAGTTTTCATCATGTTAAAGTTGAAGTGACAAGCGGGAACTGTAAGTGTTCTATGCTAACAGTTTCTATTATTGCATATCTTGTGGAACTATTTTCTGGCTGGTTACTTTCCAGTCAACTTTGATCTTCAAAGTTTTAATTTCAAAATCAATTGTTATCTTCTGTTTTCTTAATTCCTGTTCTTTTATTGTTCTTTCTCCTTAATAATGCTTCTTTTTTTTTCATATTCTCTTACACTCAATAACTCTTACATCTTAGTAGCTTTATTGCCTTGCTCAGGGTGTAATGATTAATATATCTATATATATATATATATATATAAAAGAAATATGTTGTAGTGGTTCCAACGAGAGAAAAGTATGTATATTAAAAAGAAGAGGGGTGCCGCAAACGTTTTTTTTGGTTGTAATGTGGATTTATTGAGAAAAATATTATACTTTGTTTTACATAATTTCCACGACACGTGTTTCTGGTCTGGTCTCGCAAACCGCCTTCAGGTGAAAGTGGAGATTTTACATATTATTAAAAATAATTAATTTTTCTTCATGTTCAATGTGGAATATTCTCGATATGAGACATTCTGTTTGTGTGTTGGCAATCCGAATTTTCTTTCTAGAATTGTATATATATTTCTAGAATTGTATATATATATATATATATATATATATATAAGTCTGCCAAAAATTTTCACAGTTCAGGAAAGGAAAATCTTGTATAGATATTGTAATGCTAAATTTATGGGATTCATACAAGTTATCTTGGGACTCTACAATCACAAGAGATACTCAAAATGGTGGCCTTTAGCTTCTAGACATTTATTAGTATGGCAAACTACTGCTTGGGCAACATTGACCAAAGTGTCCAGTGGGATTGCTGCACATACATTTTCAATTTCTGCCAATGTAGCCAGTTTTCTGCGATACACATCCTTTAGGGCAAGGATGGCCAAACTGTGGTGCATTGGATGCTTACAAGTGGCGCATTGCATCCTTTTGATGAAAAGGTTGCGACTGTCCGATTCCAACTTGAAGAATTGTTTGTTGCTTTCAGTTACGAATTTAACTCCTAATATTGCTGGTTTGGCGAAAACAAAGCAGAATCAAAAGGCACATTAAAGTTATTTATGTTTATTTTGCCTTTGTAAACATTATAAACCCTGCCATGCCCCCCCCCCTGCAAAATCAGAAGAGAAAAAAAAAGTCAAAGAATTGATTGATGTATCCCTCCCTTTCAAAACTGCTGGATACACCCCTGGTCATAAGCATATATTTTTCAAATAAATAGATTTTATTATAACTTCAAAATATGTCCATATTACAACATGTACTGAAAGGAAGGGAATGTTTGTGTATGTATTTAAATTAATCATTACAAAATATTGGCGCATGGAAGCAAAAGGTTGGCCACCCCTGCTTTAGGGTCCCCATACGTAAAAGTCTAAAAACTATGAAAAACAAGTTTTTCCTTTCCTGAAGTGTATATGCATTTTTTGTTGACTTATATATATATATATATATATATATATATATATATATATAAATATATGGATATAAATCCGACAGTATAAAAGAAAATATATAATGGAAAAACAAACAAAAATCCTTATATACAATTATGCTGTTTTAATGTTAATATGTCAACGTCGGACGTTTAGGTCTAATAAACCATCTTCAGGACATATAATGTTATAATTTATGAATATGTCCTGAAGATAGTTTATTAGACCGAAACGCCCGACGCTGACATATTAACATTAAAACAGCATAATTGTATATAAGGATTTTTGCTTGTTTTTTTCCGTATATTTTTTTCATCATATATATATATATATATATATATATATATATATATATATATATATATATATATATATAATTATTTATTTAAAAAAATTTATAACATAAATATGTTATAAAATCACTACAAAAATAGCCATTTTGTTTCAACACCCTCGGTGTCTTATCAAGTGATGATGTCGAATGTAAAATAAATGGTTTTAAAAGTTTCGAATTAATTAACAATCCTTCACAAGACGAAACCGTTGTTACAAAAGCTAGATGGACCAATCAAAATACGAGTATAGGAAAATTCAAAAAGCTTGACAACGAAGTCATGTTATAATAGCTATTCAAATATTTAAAAGAATTTATTCTAACCAATAATTACTAAATTATATGATAAAATTTAATATTAAAATTAAAAACTGCTAATTTCAAAATCAAAATTTAATCGCTATTAAGTTTACAACTATAAAATTATTGAGGAGAAAAGAAGAAATATATATGTTATTCAATTTATTTCTTCATTGAAGTTACTTTATCTAATTTTATATCCGGTCCTTTGACAATGTATACATTTTAATCCTAAGAGTGTGTGAATGGGGTCCTAATATATATATATATATATATCACTTGATTTAACTCTTTATTAATTTAAAGCATTTCCTTTTTTTTTTTTTTTTTCAGTGTATGTGTTGGTACTGGCTGTGTTCCAGCCTCTATGGTTTGTCACAGAATTTAGCCTTTCTTTTACCCACCGTGCGTCGAGCCGTAAGGATTCCCATCACCCCATCTGAGTGTGACACTCCGTATCAGAGAATTTATGCTGCTGCTAAAGAAAAATACTCTTTTAAAAGAAAAAAATAAAAGAACAATGAACTCTGGTAGATCCAGAATTAGTCAGAGTTTGTTTAATTAGAATAAATGTGTTATTTTGATTGAGTTTTGGTTTGAATTGTTGCAATTGCAAATTTGACTTCCTCCTTTTTCTTTTATACATAAACAATAAATCTCATCCAGCTTTAAAAGGTGACATGTTTTTGTTTGTCTTGTTTTTGTTTTTTGTGTGAGTGTCTATTTTGAAAAAAAAATGTTAGAATAATCCAGAAATTATACTGGGAGCATACACCAGGAAGCATTAGATCCAGAACTTATACAGGAAGCATGTGCCATGATGTATTATAGAACTTAGACTGGAAAATATATGCCAGGAAGCATTAGATCCAGAACTTATACTGGCGCAAATTGCCTAGATGGGGATAGAAAATGAATTGAGTAGCTACATAAAAACAAAAAGTGGCATAAGACAAGGATGTGTCTTCTCTCCAAATTTATTCAACTTCTACAGAGAATTGGTGACCCTACCAGGATGTATTAGATCTAGAACTGGTGACCCTACCAGTATGTATTATCAGTTAGCATATTCTTAACAATATAAGAAATGCAGATGACACTCAAAAAGAAAACTACTGGACCTTCCAAACAGATGGCTTACAGCCACATTATGTTGAAACACAGATTCCTGTATGATCATCAAAGTTAAGCAATATTTAGCCTGGTCAGTACTTAGATGGGTTACATCTTGTGAATACCAATTGCGCTTAGCTTGGATGTGCAATTGGTGTAACGAATAATGGCTTGGAATTGTTAATCGGAGAGCTGAATTAAAATTCCCATTGTGGAAAAGTAAGAATTCACCTCTTCTCCCCACCCCGTCTCTCAGTAAGACTTGTATCACTAAACCATTATTATTTTTTTAAAAATTTCTTACAATCTGAAAATGTTTTCTACCTTTTAAATAACTTGCAAAAGGTTGATAAATCATCAATAAATCCTAGATAGGATGATAGAAGAAAGCAAGAAAAAAGGACTAACTGACAACTAGCTAAGGACAAAGTCTGCTCATCAGCAAGACATATAGCTGAAGATGTGAATTATGGATTGGAGTTGTCAACATCAAGTAGATGTAAACGTTTAAATATCTTGGAAGTATTTTAACAGAGGATGTGAATTGATGGCAGAATGGTGGTGCAGGTGACTTAGCAAAGGGAGAAACTTGGTCAAGGGATAGGAAATTGTGGAGAGCCATGATCCCCAATGTCCTGAAGGGATAATGGCACATGGAAGAAGAATTCTATGTCTGAAAAAAGTATGTTTGGGCAGCAAGTATTTGTTTAAAAACGTTTGATTAAAAAGAACGATAGTCTGTGTTTCTAATTTTTTATTGTATTTTTTCAAACACTGAAGAAGTTATTGAGAATTGTGCTCAGAATTGAGGATAAAATGTTCAACGTTCATGTTTTCTTATTGTTTTCTTCAAATATTTTTAACTGTCTCAGTCATTTTTTACGAACAATGTCATGTCTGTGTGGTAGGCAGAATTCCTTTGTCTACATCCTGGTATTCTTTGGAAGGTTGGAAATTTTAAATAGTCTATGGTGGCATCATGTGTAACAGTTATTGGGAACAAAGCAACAACAAAAAGAATGCTCTCTCTCTCTATGTATATATATATATGTGTGTATATATGTGTATATATATATATATATATGTATATAATATGAATATATATATGTATATATATGTATCTATATTATATGTGTATATATATATATGTATGTATATTAATTTTATATATGTGTATATATAAATATATATATAATAAAAAGGTTTAAACACTAATATTGCATGGTCATAATTTATTCCATTGGAATTGTAAATACGATCCAAATCATCAGACCTACAAATTCAAAATGAAAACAGAAAAAACAACTCCGAAATCAAAACAGAATTTAGAGAAAGTAAAGTATGAGGAGGAGGGAGATGAAACCTTAACAGAGAGAATTTTAGGAGATGTGGGGGGGTTAAAAGAGGAGAGAAAGAAAGTCGACGGATGTCTAATGCATAAAGATACATTTCGTGGTGACACACACACACCATAGACAATTAGAAGTTAGGATAGGAGGTAGGTGGGAAAAGAAATAGAAGAGGTGGGGGAGAGATGGGACGAAGGAAAATAAAATTGTGTTTACTTAAAGGGTCTTTGTAATTGAGAAAATTTGACAAATTAATATCTACTACAGGTTAGAAATCAAATATAAATATATGAAGATGAATATAACGATTGTCTAATCTAGCAAGGTCCAAATATTTCTATGTTCAAAAACACATGCTAATACACACAATAACATATACAAGTAGGTACATACACTTAGGCATGTACTCACACACACACACATACGTGTACACACACATATATATATACATATATATATATATAAAAAACCTAAAAATATATTCACATATCCACACATACACATATTCATCTATATTCATATACACACACTTTTCACATACATATACACGCATACACATGCCCCCATGCATATATTCATACATACATACATATACATATATATATATATATATACATATATATACACACATATACATATATATATACACACACATACATACACCTACATATACATATATCCACACATACCAATACACATACACACATATACATACACGCACATACATATGCAAAACGACCATTTTAAAAATTGCATTGTCTGAAATACATTGTTAATGAGTAAATAATAAAAAATATATGTATTCAAAACCTCTTTTAAAAGTATTTAAAATAGAGTACACATATACATAAAAAAGTAGGAGAAGCTATTAGAAGCGAACATACAGTTACATCTAGCCATTTTAACTGTAAAATGATGAGATCTAGCTGTCAATTCATAAAGTGTAGGTACCAAAGAGAATAGCTGATAAGGACAATTACTATGGAAATATTTATAGAAAACGCCCAGAGAAGCTACGTTACGGCGGTGGGAATATGACTGACGCGGAGATGCCAGGTCAGGACTGATAGCATTGCAGATGTTGTTATATATATATATATATTTAGTTTATGCAAACTTAGGTAATCCGTATGGATAGACCTGAGGAGGATGATATCCAGAGAGCTCAATGTAAGATTCAGAGCATATATGTTTGAATAAAAGACAGACCACGTTAAGATTCCATGTAATAAGCTATTTCATCATAACCCCTTTAACAGGGTTCTGGATCATCAGACTTTACTTCCAAAAGCTGAAATGAAAAATGAAAAGAAATTCACACACACACACATATATATATATATATATATATATATATATATATATATATATTGTATATATATATATGTATGTATATATATTGTATATATATATATATATATATATATATATATATATATATATATATATATATATATTATATATATATATATATATTGCATTGCACCATTCAACAAACAGCTATATGAATTTGAAAAAGACCTACTCAACATTATCAATAACATCTCCTTTCTAAAAAAGAAAAGCCACTTCCAAAAACATCTAGACTAAATAGTTAAAAGCATAAATGATTGTGATAAAATACTAGTTAAGTCTGACAAAACTGGCAACTTCTATAAATTGACAGCAGATGACTACAACAACTTAATTAAAAAAAAACTTAACTAGGACTTATAAAAAAGCTTACAACAACATAAATATGGTTAATAGCATTAACAGAGCTAGTAAAAAAAAATACTGATAAATTAAAAATTAGCGATAGAGTAGGCAAACTTGCTGAAAAGGAATGTTACATCACTCTTAAAGACCACAAACAAGATTTTATGGAAAACCATACTACAAGAATAATCAACCCTACCCGACCCGATATAGGTAAAATCAGCAAAAGAATCCTGGAAAGAATTACTTGCCAAATAAAAAACCACCTTGGATTAAAATTATGGATCACTACCAAAGATGTCATCAATTGGTTTACCAATATTGATAATAAACCTGATTGCACCCTATTACAGTTCGATATCGTGGATTACTACCCGTCAATATCGAAGGATCTATTCATGACTGCCCTGGAGTTTGCTGCTGTGTATTCTAACCTGACAAAGGATGAAATAGATATAATTCTCAGTGCAAAAAAATCTGTCCTCATTCATAATGGGGACCAATGGATAAAAAAAAAAATGACCATTTTGACACCACTATGGGATCTTTAGACTCTGCAAAGTCTTCTGACCTAGTTGGTCTTTTAATACTGTACAACTTGACCGCGCACAGTGAAATAGATATTAAGGACATCGGACTGTATAGAGATGGCAGGCTCATGGTAGTGAGGAGTTCTACTAATTTTAAAATAGAGAAAATTAGGAAGATTATATTTAGTGAATTTAAAAATCTAAACTTAAAAATAACAGTCTGTACTAAATTGAAAAGGGTAAACTTCCTCGACGTAACTAGATTTAACAAACAACACATACCAACCTTATAAAAAACCAAATACTAACCCCTTTATATATACACCCGAAGTCAAACCACCCTCCATCCATAATTAAACATATACCCTCATCAACAGAGAATAGAATCAGCATTAACTCCGCTAATAAAGAAATATTCCAACACAGTAACTTTTATCATGCAACCCTAAAAAATAGTGGATACAAAAATGCAAACATCAATTATAGAAACAATTGTACTAACCGGAAAAAAACAGGAAAAGAAAAATCATTTGGTATAACCCTCCGTTCAACCGAAAGCTAGGACAGAAATTACTAGCTTTAATTGAAAAACACTTTCCTACCAATAGTAGACTTAGTAAAATATTTAATAAAAACACCCTAAAATTATGTTACAGCTGCACTAAAAATCTAGAAAGTATAATAAAAAAAACACAATAATAAAATCCTGAACAAACCCCAATGCTTGAATAGTATTAATAAAAACCCTACACTTAAATTAGACAAAAATAGTGAAAAATTATGTGATTGTAAAAACCCAGAAGACTGCCCATTGGAAAATAAA